TTAAATGAGTAGGTGTGTCCAAACTTTTGACTGGTACTGTATATTATAAAACTATTTTTACATCAGCAGCTACCCGGCCTACACCCCAAAGAGCAAGCAGCAGAAGCATATAGACTACATTGTGACAGCGAAGGTAGTTGGAACAGGTTCATTACCTGTGGCTAAGGGAGGAGGGGTCAGTGTGTGTGTGTGGAAGGGCAGAGTGTGTGTGTGCTGTGCAGGTGTTTTGTTTTTAAGAGGATGCAGCAGGTACAGCAGGTGTGACCTAACCGTCCAGATCAAAGCAGAGTGAGAGTAACAAACCTACAGGCCCTGACAGACAGACATGAGCAGCTTGTCACAGGGAGTGGCACAGCCCACACTGCTCTACAGCATTCAGCTAAAACCAGCCCACTTCCCCATCATTAAGTATCTTAAAGGGCGGTGTCTGTCTGTGCTTTCCTGGATCTAGCCTTCTGAGGCCACAGATGGGGTTGAGGAGCCCTCCTCCTCCAGCCCACTGTCCTGAGCCAAAACACCATATCAACAGCACTGGGTAGAGCGAGTCTAACATTCCACTCAAGACATTTTCATTCCCACACGCTGCTTTTACTCTCATTAAAATGAGAGAAATATAGGCTAGGAGAAACAACTAGGCCTATGAACTTAGTTTCTTATGATAGCATGTAATCAGAGAGTCCCCAGTAACACCTCAGCTGTGGCTCAGTGTATCCTATCCTCCCTCAGCCTGTCACTGTGGAGTAGAAACAGACCAGGATTCTTATCTTCTCCAGAACTCTCACTCCACATTCCAACACTCCACACAAGGAATACTGAAAATTCCAGATTCCAGGGAAGGGGAACAGAGAGAAGTCAGGTAACACACTGAACCACCTTGTACCAGGGTGGTAGAGAGACAGTACGTATGACGGTGTAGAGAAAGAGAGAGGGACATATGACAGCCTCTAGTCAGTCCATATAAGATCATGCATTTATAGTAAGTGTTACATTTTGATAACATGTTACAGAACTACACTCATCAGCTATCAAACTCCTCAAAAATTAAAGTGGAGTCCTTTCAGCTATTCTACCTGCTCAAAACTGGACCATGACCTTCAACGTGGCAGTGGAGATAAACGGAAGCGAAGATAGCTCAGTTAATACGTAAACCAAACTTCTCTATATGTGAACTTTTTACTACTATAAGGGCAACATTCTGGCAGCCGCAACAAAGCATTAATACTTAGGTTAAATAGAAGCCGCTCTTTTCTGGCTACTACAACCATGACTGTGGGGGTAGCCTACCCGAGGTGGACAGCAGGGCCGGGGGATGGTGGGGGACAGTGATTCCCCTCTCAGTGAGTGAGAGACAGATTGAGAATTCCTGGGGGACACAGACACATCAGAGAGGACACTGAGGGACTGTGTGTTCCTGGCCTGGGTCCCCTCCCTCCCAGAGCAGGGCAGATGTGCTAAACCGGCCTGTCCTCAGTTCATCTCACTACTATGCGTGTGTGCGCACGCGATTCAAATAGAATGTGAAAATAGCTTCCTTATACAAGAAACAAACTTGTAGGCTTCTGGGACAACAATGTCTTGCAATAAATAAATAAAAAACTCATTCTGAAAGTGTACAAGAAAGCAGACTTCACATCAGTTAGGGGCTGTTTTAGTTTAAGCTTGGCTGATAATGAGTGAGGGGTAGTTTCGGAGATACCGGCACCTGAATACCTTCATGACGAACTTGTCAAATTAAGGGGAATACCATTGGTTGCCATGCATTCTGTAGCTCATCATCAGATATGATATGACAGCACAGGCTAACTTGAGAATGCAGGCCCTATTGTTGACAATACAACACTGTGATTATCAGGGGTAACCATGGTGTTGATAAGCAAGGTGGGTGGGCTCCTTCTTGGTTATTTTAGGTGAGTGATTTGAGGTACACCACCTAAAAAGGAGGGAACCCACTTATCTGTGAATAGTAGAACACTGTCATCTGACTCGAGGCATGTGACTATGGAAACTGATAAGATTGGGACTTGTGTTATTTTTGACCATGATAGTATCAGGCTGGGCAGTAGGTGATATGCACCCAGTGTGTGGCTGCTGCTTGATCGATAGGTTGTAGCTATCTACAGTAACTGGATGTGGGCTTGATTGATTGTATTGCTTTTCTGGTTTCTCTTGTACATCTAAAAATAGATATTTGTACTGAACAAATAGCCTGCATTTGTTAGTCACGGATGCTTTGGTCAGACAGTCATTTAAGGGAATAATTGATCACAATACTGGCATAACCTCGGTGTCAGACATCAGTGTTGATGTTGAGACAGGCCATATGGTGACCAAATAAAGATCACCTGTAATCCTTATGTTGATTGATGAGGACTTTATCTGGTCAGACTATTGCATTACTGTCAAAAACAGACTGCCTCTTTATCACATTTGTTGATATCATGTATCTGTACTGGATTGGTAAACTGGTTAAATATGTTTTGAGACAGAATACTGATGGGCATGGTTGTAAGGCGGGAGTCCTAGCTGGAATACTTTACCTAGCTAACAAACATGCAAAACGTCTTATTCAAAAGATATGGACGAACTAAATACCTGTTTAATTAGTGTATCAATTAAGGCACCCACAATTCACACACGCAATAGTAGCTAGTCCGCCTTTCTAGCTTGTAGCAGTGGCTAGCCATTGCGTTGCGATTCTCCGCTGTGACATTGGATGGAAAGTGAAAGGGATATTCGGTGACAATTTTACCCAAGTAAATACACAATTTCGTTGTCATCCCACGAAGTTGAAACATCAACAGCTTTAGTTCAACCTGATGTGAAATGCTCTTATGCTAGTTCAACAGGTAGAACAAACTTTAAAAGCTCGCGCTAGCTAATGCTAGCTAACTAGCTCTTCCCTGGCAACCTGTCGCATTCAATGCCACTCCAAAATACATAGGAAACGGAAGAGAACTACTCACTTTATTCCCGCAACACTGTCGAGAATATATCCTTTATTGACGAGTCCAATATTACTCCACAGTTTTTTTGTATCAGTTGATTATTATTATTTTATATACTAAACTTTGCTAACTTTGTGCCACAATATCAATCCAGATCCTCTCTCCCGTAGCCTTGCCTTAAGAGTCATTTCCAACTCGAGGGTTGTTCAGACGTCAAGGGTCTCCTTTGCTCTCCAGCGCCCCAATACATGCGCATGAAACAATGTTCGCGATTGGACAATGCTGCTCACAGGACCCTAAACAATGCCCTCTTGTCCAATGAAAGATGACTTTACATATATACAGTCTATGCTTTACGTCTATAAAGTGACAGGGTAATTTTTGATGTTTCTTTACGCAAACCAAGCTTTTTGCTCAAATCAAGGACCAATGCTGTAGAAATAAATATAATTTTATGTACTCTCTATGTAGCATAGAATAAAATATAATCGTTTTATTTTTCCCAGAGGACACGTCAGTTTATAAATAAGAGACTGAAGAAATTGTTTTACATAATGATCAAGGATTTTTAATTTTTCATTAGTTTCAACAATATTACAGAAAACGTTTATAGTACAGAGTTCAATATCTCCCCATTGCTTCATTAATTTAGTCAGGAGTGCTGGTCACCATAATCTGTACAATATCACTCTTTTGTATTTATGTATTTTTCTGTACATTGTTTGAATAGCTGTTAAAAAGGCAGTCAGCACTTTAAATAAGCTGTTTCTTCCTTATGAAACAAATTAAATAAAGTTTCCTCCCTCCTCCAGTTCCCGCGCACGTATCTGTACTAGTATGTGTGAGGTGAGCAGTCCTGGAGGGATGAGGGTAGGGGGGAGACAGACGGTGTTGGTAGAGTAGGGTGGGACCAGAGGCATTTATTTAGATATATGAAAGAATATACATGTCTCTGGGTGGGACTTCAGTACCAGGTGAGGTCAGACTATGAGGAAGCTAGTGGGCCTGTGGGGCAGCTAGGGGGAACAGTCAGCTTGGGAGGCAGCTAGTGGGCCTCAGGGTTAGCTAGGGGGCATGGGGGGCAACTAGTGGGCCAGAGGAGCAGCTAGGGGGCATGGTAGGCAACTAGGGGGAACAGTCAGCCTGGGGGGAAGTTAGTGGGTCTGGGGGAAGTTAGTGGGTCTGGGGGGAAGCTAGTGGGCCTGGGGGAAGTTAGTGGGTCTGGGGGAAGTTAGTGGGTCTGGGGGAAGCTAGTGGGCCTGGGGGAAGTTAGTGGGTCTGGGGGAAGTTAGTGGGTCTGGGGGAAGTTAGTGGGTCTGGGGGAAGTTAGTGGGTCTGGGGGAAGTTAGTGGGTCTGGGGGAAGTTAGTGGGTCTGGGGGAAGTTAGTGGGTCTGGGGCAAGCTAGTGGGCCTGGGGGGCAACTAGGGGTCCTGGGGGGCAGCTAGTGGGTCGGGGGGCAGCTAGGGGAAACAGTCAGCCTAGGGGGCACAGGCAGGCCACTCGCTGCCTTTCTCCGCCTTCAAGGCCTGTATTCATAAAGGAGTAGGAGTGCTGATCTAGGATAAATTTAGTTTTAAAAAATATCATAATGAATAAGATTATATAGACGGGGGGTGACCTGATCCTAGATCACTACTCCTACTCTGAGCCAATTTATGAATACAGGCCCAGGTCTCATCATGATGACCCTATGACCTTTGGCCCAAGATGCCCACCACTTTTGGCACTGCACACATAAACACGACTCACAAGATAAACGACAAGCAAAGCTATGTGTGAAGCCATTATGAGGCATAATAAAGCCCATATAATGAGGCATAGAAGAGAAGAAGAACACTAAAGGGAGGGGATAAGATAGCTAAAGGCACCCTCAGGACCCTGAAAACACTCCCATCAACCAGAGCACGAAGGCTCCATCCTGATTCTACACACTACTCCTGCATACTTTCTTGCATGGATTTAGCAACGGTGGAAACTCCCTCCAGCCAATGCCTACCTTCACCAATCCAATGCCTTTAAAAATGACGGGGAGTACATGTGGAGAATCAGGACACAGCCCAAGGGGGACTTCTGACATTATCTCCAAGGGGTTTTCCTTGTTCAAAAACAAGAGATGTATTTTCTATCTTTTTTTAGTGAGATAAGAAAATAGTTTTCTTGTGTGTTTTCTTTGCACCTAAAGCTTGTTATTGAAATGCTACTGCTATCTATCTATAAGTTCTAGGGTTGAAAACACAGAGCAATTGCGAGGATGAATGAGAAACAGAGTTGCTTAATATGACAATATAATATTAATAATAATAATATTATAATAATAATATATTACAGAATAAATCTATTATGTTTTATATATTATTTTCACTTTTAAAAGGTATAACATTTTGTCTTTCTTTGAAATACAATCTTTTCAAATTCAGATTTCATGATCAATGTATGTACTCATTTATTTTGTGTTCGAGATGTTGATTAATTATACTTGATTAACTTTATTATCCAAATCAATAAAAACTAGCTGTGCCGTTGCATATTACAGAATAGTTATGATATGTGGACATGCACCACTTTCTCTTCCTATCTATCTATCTGTCCCCGTAAGAAGACATCATCATAGTCGTCCTATGACCATCACATCCACAACCTCTCCTTTATGCAGCTCCACATATTGCTCTGTTTTAGGAGGCAACATCAGCAGCCCGTTGGCACTCCTCATGCTCATCAGTCGACTACTCATCTGATTTCCTGTAGGGGGTGAGAGAGAGAGACAGAGAGAGATTAAGAGAGAGACAGAGCGAGAGCGCGAAAGAAGGAGAGGGTTGGCAGAGAGGGATAGAGGGGGGAGAGAGAGGGAGGAGAGGGGGGAGAGAGAGGGAGGAGGGTGGGGAGACAGAGAGAGAGAGCCAATAACATGACAAGGATCAACTTTTTGATACGCATTTTCCCTTATTCATTTTTTCCATGCAAACGTGCTGATGACAAACTATTGTGTGTATGTGATAATACCTGTGCTCTGTGCCCATGGCAGAGGCTCCTGGTGGTGCCATGTCAGGATGCAGCGGTGGTACTCAGGACGAGGGTCCAACTTTACATCACAGGAAAGCTGTTTACACACACAGGAGAGAGCAGGGCGCAGAATGATGACATCACACTCAACTTTAAACCCTAATGTATTTGCATTAAAGCTATGTGTAAAAAAATTAATGAAAAAATATATATATATATATATATTACTCTGCTGTTAACTTACCCTGGCTTTGATGATGGTGGGCCGAGGGTCCAGGATCCCCTGCATCTTCCTCAGAGCAGGGATGACGAAGAGGTTACAGGTGACAACCGCAGACACTGGGTTACCTGACCAACAGAGAGAGAGGGGCTGAGGATGAGAGGGCGACAAGGACGTGACATTACCGCTGTTCAGAGGGCTAAGGGGAGAGATGACAGGATAGGCCAGGGAAGGTTTGGACGGGTTGGGGTGGAAGAGCACTGTTGTTATTGACATGCTCCAGCTGGCAGCCCCTGTAGGACAGGATAAGGGCTCAGTGCAGAGAGCAGAGTGGTTCTCTTCTCACCCCACTGGCCTGTCAGTATGGGGCCGGGCTGGGACGGGGACTTGGGCTGGGGACTTGGGCTGGGAGCCCGGGCTGGGGGAAGCAGACAGTTGAGACAGGTACGCTTCTGCCTTTTTAGGTGTGCACAGAAGAGGGACTGGTGGGGTACACTCTTTAGGGGAGTGGGAGAAGAGGGTGAGCGCTCTTTGGGGAGAGTGGGAAAAGTTTGTGAGTGCTCTCTCTTTACACCAACCAGCAGCGGTGATGGGAGGTGTCAAAAAAGGTCAAATAAAATGAAACAGCAGGGGGAAGGGTGAGTAGCGCTCTCAAATCACAACAACAAGCAACAGCATGGAATCATGGGAAAGATATCCGCAGGGGCAGGGGCTCGGGAGGACACTGAAACAGAACGAGGCGCGACAGAACCAACAGCAACGCCACAGAAACGTTAAAGAAACAAAACAATATTTCTCTCTCAGAAAACAGAACAGAAAATCACATAAGAAAAGAACAACTCTTTATTTTATGTTAATAATTTTGTTAAGATTCAAGTTTGGGTTTACTAAAAGGTGTAGTGATCTTATTTAGCTTAATCACTACTAAAAAAACAGAAAGAAATGCCCCCAAACATGTCCAAACATGCCCAAAGTTTGGGACACAAAAATTAAATAAAAGTACATTTGTTAATTTGGTTAATTTGGCCTCCAGTTTGCATTTTGAGATAATTTTAAGCCCATATCATTTGAGTTCGGTCAAGTTTCAGTTAAGCACTTAAAGAAAAACCATTTTCCTATTTTCAGTTTAAATTCCGTTTTCTGAGCTCAGTTGAAGTAAGCTTGCTTTCAGGTAGAGAGCAGTGAGCACACTGAACGGTACGGTCAACCACGGTGGTAGCACCTACTTCCGCGCGGGGGCGGTGGCACGGGCACCCTGCTTGCCTCACTGTCGGGGACAGGGTCGATGAGAATGGCGCCTGTATCTCTGAAGGTGAAATTACCTTAAAGGAGGAATATAAAAAGAGTGGCGGTCACCACAGCCACAGACTAGCCCACCGAACATACGTAGGATGGGCAGAGGCAGGGGGGCTGGGGGAGGCAATAGGACAGGCATAGGCAAGGGGGCCTGCTGGGGGCTATGGAGAGGTCGAGGTACAGGGGGGGCTGGGAGAGTAGAAGGACAAGAGGTTGCTGACAGCAGGGCTTTTTGGTTGGTTGGGTGGGTCAAATAGGGGTCAAATTTCAGGTTTGGTGTGCATAAGGGTCTGGGCTGGCTGAGGTTTGATGTTTATAGCTGGGTGGGTCTGAGGTAAAACATAGGAGCACGGTTTTGGAGGGCTGGTATAAAACATTCCCTCACACGAACATATTTATAATACAAACGACAACTCAGATACAAAATGTAAATGATCAATCGGGAAAAAAACTGCTGCTGTGGAAGGAAGGCAGTTTTGTTCCAGGATGCTGTAGAAACTGAAAGGGGAGTGTGTTTAAAGAGAAACATTATCTCTGTCTGAGGGCATGCTGCTGGATTAATAACATGTTTCTCTCAGGGAAACATATATTTGGTTGTTAAATGGTGGTGTTTTGGACTCAGAGCAGAGACACAGATGTGTGTCTGAGATCTCAGTCAAGGCCGGCGATCCCCTGCCAGTCCTAAGACTCAACAACAACATTTACGGGCCTACACACAAACAACAGATACTGTATATACAGTACACCACATGCAGATCTCATAAACACATACCTGGTAGGGCAAATATCAGTTTCCGTGCCCCGTCAATGTCTACAGTGGCGAACGTGGTGGGGAGACTAAGAGAAGAGAACAGAAGACGAACCAAGATTCACTATCCGTCTCTCCTAAACCATCCTCACTTTATGAATTAAAAAGACATATCCCTCTAAACTTTGGTAGCTTAATGTATATTTTTAAAGAAATGTCTCACCCTGGCTTCATAAAGACCCGTCCAAAGTGGATCTGGGCGTGGAGGTCAATGTCAAGCACCTGCTTCAGGTAGTCCTGAAACATAAAGAGATACATTGTATATTATTGTGTTGTATTTACAGTGTATTTCATGCCGATAAAGTTAATTGAATTAAATTAAATTATAAAGTTCCTTTTATTATATTGATGTTGAGGAAGAAGTTGTCATAGGAGTGTTAAACTTCTTATCGAGTCAGTGGGTTTAAACTGAAACTTTGATTATCTCCACTGACACGTTTCCATGTCTGTCTGAGGGTGAGGTGTACATGTGTGATCCAATAACAGAGGTAATTGGAGCAGAAAACCCAGAGAGAAGCAAAGAATTCAGCTAAGCAGTAAGGTCAGCCAAACCAGCTGGATGAGAACAGCAGGAGTAACATCCTGGATCAGAACAGCAGGAGTAACAGCTGGATGAGAACAGCAGGAGTAACAGCTGGATCAGAACAGCTGGAGTAACAGCTGGATCAGAACAGCAGGAGTAACAGCTGGATCAGAACAGCAGGAGTAACAGCTGGATCAGAACAGCAGGAGTAACAGCTGGATGAGAACAGCAGGAGTAACAGCTGGATGAGAACAGCAGGAGTAACAGCTGGATCAGAACAGCAGGAGTAACAGCTGGATCAGAACAGCAGGAGTAACAGCTGGATCAGAACAGCAGGAGTAACAGCTGGATCAGAACAGCAGGAGTAACAGCTGGATCAGAACAGCAGGAGTAACAGCTGGATGAGAACAGCAGGAGTAACAGCTGGATCAGAACAGCAGGAGTAACAGCTGGATCAGAACAGCAGGAGTAACCGCTAGATCAGAACAGCAGGAGTAACAGCTGGATCAGAACATCAGAAGTAACAGCTGGATCAGAACAGCAGGAGTAACAGCTGGATCAGAACAGCAGGAGTAACCGCTAGATCAGAACAGCAGGAGTAACAGCTGGATCAGAACAGCAGGAGTAACAGCTGGATCAGAACAGCAGGAATAACAGCTGGATCAGAACAGCAGAAGTAACAGCTGGATCAGAACAGCAGGGGACAGCAGAGTGTAGCAAGATGCACAGTACTTGAGGTTCAACATAGAGACCAAACTCCACCCCTAGCCCAATTGTCTCAACTGCGTGTCGTGTTAGAATGATGCCATCTGACAAAGGACAATGCCACTAGCCCCTACTCCCGAGCCATTATGGAATTTACTTAGCTCTACAATATATCTAAATGAGCTCGCTGCCTCACACCTCATTACCTTATTATTTTTTAACTTCTAATAAGTTTTATATAATCTTACCTTCTCTCCCATGGACACACCCCCTGAGGTGATGATGACGTCAGCACGGCTGATGCCCTCGTTCAGGGCGTTAAGGAGGTCGTCTGGGCTGTAGGGGAAAGGTCACGGGTCACAGTTCATACCCTCCCATCTTTCTGATTGTAGATTAATCTATAGCTTTCCAGACACAGATTATAGCCTTGTGCTGGACTAAAAAGCACTTTCAGATTCTCCATTGAGCATGCTTTTAGTCCAGGACTAGGGTTAATGTATGTCCAGGAAACCAGCCCAATGTTTTCTAGGAGGGTAGATGAAGCCATTGTTACTGAGGGTTATGATTGAATGTTGTTGACTGACTTGTCTCCGACGATGCCCAGGTTGATGGTAGGGTAGCCATGTTCCTGAATGGTGGCCAGCAGTGTAGATCTGTTACTGTCCCTGATCTTCCCTGGGTGCAGGTCATCCTCTGGGTTCAACAGCTACGCACACACACGCACACGCACGCACACGCACGCACACACACGCACGCACACACGCACACACACGCACACACGCACACACACGCACACACGCACACACGCACACACACGCACACGCACGCACACGCACGCACACACGCACACACACGCACACACACGCACACACGCACACACACGCACACACACGCACGCACACACACGCACACACGCACACACACACGCACACACGCACACACACGCACACACGCACACACACGCACGCAAAGAAGAACATTCCTTTATTGTTCATTGTCTACAGGAAACCGTCTCACATCCTGCAAGATTTTCCCGTCAGACCCGGGATTCAAACCGACAATCGGTTGATGTCCTATTCGCCTCTCTAACCTCTAGGCTATCTGCCACCCCAAACCCGGGTATTAAAGACACCATGAGAGATGGCAAAATATGTGTGCATGTATATGTGTGTGTTCACCTCGTTGCCAGTGGACATGACAGCCACCACTGGGAACTTCTGCACCTCCACCTCAGTGACTCCTACGGTGGCCAGCAGGCCGATCTCAGAGGGGCCCATGTGGGTTCCCTTGGACAGGACACACTCCCCACGCTTTATATCATGACCTATAGGCCTGAAGGGAGGGGAGACAGATGGGGCTGGGTGAGTGCCAGAGACACAGTACTGGTACTACGGTCACGTGGAATTTGACTGCCTTCATGACTCGTGACCGCCGGTGTGGCGGTAATACGGTCACCATAACCCTAGTACTACCTCAAGATTTATGTGAGTGTCAGGTACTCAGATACTGTATAAATGGCTGTGTGATGCATAGTGCTGAGCTATTAGTGCTTTTTGAGGTTGGTTCGGTTAAAAAATAATTATGGTGATTAATTTATCTACACTAAGCACATTACAATAGTACTGTAGCATAGTACTGTATCTACGAACCAACCAATAGCAGTACTGACAAAAGAAGTCAGTGAGAAGTAAAACCTAAAGACCGGTTAGTAAGGGTTAAAGGAGTACTCAGTAACTATAACAGTCTGTTCTTTTTAAAGAGGAGAATTGGGAACCGTGACTATATGTTTAAAAACAAAAAGCATTTCAAACTCCCTTTTCCTTTTTACTAGCTCTGACTTTGCTGATCGCTACTTTGAGGAAAAATGTCCTTACTACGACTGATACAGAAAGTATTGACATCCCTTGAATCTTTCCAACTTTTTGTTGTGTTACAGCCTGAATTTAAAATGGCCTACACACAATACCCCATAATGTCAAAGTGGAATTATGTTTTTCAATATTATTTATTATTTTTATTTATTTTTTAATGCCATTTAGCAGACGCTTTTATCCAAAGCGACTTACAGTCATGTGTGCATACATTTTTACGCAGGGGTGGTCCCGGGGATCGAACCCACTACCCTGGCGTTACAAGCGCCATGCTCTACCAACTGAGCTACAGAGGACCACCAATTTTAAACAAATTAATAAAAATAATAAAAAGCTGAAATGTCTTGAGTCAATAAGTATTCACAGTGAATACACAATTCAACCCCTTTTTTATGGCAAGCCTAAATAAGTTCTGGAATAAAAATGACAAACAGAGCAGTTAATGAAGAAGATACAGTACATTCTGTCCTATTGTCAGGAAGAGGTTTGTGGCAGATGAGTAAGACTATATATGCAATACAGAAAGGCTGTCAGATTGTGGAGAGGAGATACTGGAGACAGAGGAGAGAGGTTTGAGAGAAAATTGGAGAAATAATTAATGAACAGAGAGGAGAGAGACATATTGTATGTTATTGTAATGTATTTGTATAAGTGTATTCCATGCCGATAAAGTTCATTGAAATAAATTGAGAGGGGATCAGCAAGTTGCCACAGGAGATGGGAGAGGGAGAGTGCTGGTTGACTCGTCCTTAGAGAGTGAAAGCAAGGTGAAGAGAGAGAGAGATAAAAATGTGCTTAACAAGTCACATAATAAGTTGCATGGACTCATTCTGTGTGCAATAATAGTGTTTAACATGATTTTTTAATGACTACCTCACCACATATACAATAATCTGTAAGGTCCCTCAGTCGAGCAGTGAATTTCAAACACAGATTCAACCACAAAGACCAGGGAAGTTTTCCAATGCCTTGCAAAGGAGGACACCTATTGGTAGATGGGTAAAAAAAAATGGAAAAAAAGCAGACATTGAATATCCCTTTGAGCATGGTGAAGTTATTAATGACTCTTTGGATGGTGTATCAATACACCCAGTCACTACAAAGATACAGGCGTCCCTCCTAACCCAGTCGTCGGAGAAGAAGGAAACCGCTCAGGAATTTCACCATAATGGTGACTTTAAAACAGTTACTGAGTTTAATGGCTGTGATAGGAGAAAACTGAGGATGGATCAACAACATTGTAGTTACTCCACAGTACTAACCTAATTGACAGAGTGAAAAGAAGGAAGCCTATACAGAATAAAAATATTCCAAAACATGCATCCTGTTTGCAACAAGGCACTAAAGTAACACTGCAAAAAATTTGGCAAAGCAATTCACTTTTTGTCTTGAATACAAAGTGTTATGTTTGGGGCCAATGCAATGCAACACATTACTGAGTACCACTCTCCATATTTTCAAGCATACTGGTGGCTGCATCATGTTATGGGTATGCTTGTAATTGTTAAGGACTGGGGAGTTTTTCAGGATAAAAAGAAATGGAATGGAGCTAAGCACAGCCAAAATCCTAGAGAAAAACCTGGTTCAGTCTGCTTTCCACCAGACACTGGGAGATGAATTCACCTTTCAACAGCACAATAACACAAGGCAAGTGAATGTTCCGAGTTACAGTTTTGACTTAAATCTGCTTGAAAATCTATGGCAAGACTTGATGTTGGTTGTCTAGCAATAATCAACAACCAATTTGACCGAGCTTGTAGAATTTTGAAAAGAATAATGGGCAAATATTGTACAATCCAGGTGTGCAAAGCTCTTAGAGACTTACCCAGAAAGACTCACTGCTGTAATCGCTGCCAAAGGTGATTCTAACATATATTGACTCAGGGGTGTGAGTACTTATGTAAATTTGATATTTCTGTATTTTATTTTCAACACATTTGCTAACATTTCTAAAAACATGTTTTCATTTTGTCCTTATAGGGTATTGTGTGTAGATGGGTGAGAAAAAATATATTTAATCAATTTTGAATTCAGGCTGTAACACAACAAAATGTGCAATAAGTCAAGCGGTATGAATACTTTCTGGCACTGTATGTGGTTGTCCCACCTTGCTATCTTAAGATTAATGCACTAACTGTAAGTCGCTCTGGATAAGAGTGTCTGCTAAATGACTAAAATGTAAATGTACAATTATTTTTAGAGCTTTTTAATGGTAATTCCAAAGCCAAAAATAGTGAACATTCAATTGCCAAAACATTTAAAATATTCCATTGTCTCTGTCAGGTTCACATTGGGTAGACAATAATAGAAAAATAGGAAATTACTCTGAAATAATAAAATATTGCAGTTGTGTATATTACTTCATTTTTAAATGTATTCCTTAAAGTCATCATCGCATCTCTGCTCAGGCAGCAGCAGCAGCCAGCCAGCCAAACAACATTATCTCGGTGCTCCCCATACTGTACTGTCTTTAGTCATCCTATTTAGCTAGGCTAGTCTGCCTAAGTATGCTGCAGAGCTGTCTGACCAAATCATTTTACTAGTTCTTCAACGTAGATATGGTATACTTTCACCAACGGTCTCTATCCCCTCTCTCTCACCATTGTGTTGTGTACATTCCTCTCTCATGCGGTCTGTGTGTATCTAACCTAACATAGCAGGCGTAAAAGTGTATCCATCTCTGTCCAAGCTGGAAAGAACAGGCGACAGAAATAACAAGCACAATGGATTATGGTCACTGGCTGCCTGTGAGTTTTATAATTAATTTTAAGATTCTTCTATTGCCTTTTAAATCAATCCACGATGGTGCACCCCAATACATGTCAGAAATGCTTTTAAGTTATGTACCCAGTAGGTCCCTCAGGTCCTCTGGCACTGGCCTTTTAACTGTCCCAAAGCCTAGGACCAAGAGGAATGGAGAGGCAGCCTTTAGTTATTATGCCCCCAGCCTCTGGAATAGCCTGCCAGAGATCCTGAGGGGGTTCGAAACTGTGGACATATTTAAAAGAGATCGCGTCTTTTTAGCTTTACTTTTCCTCAGGGTGCTTTTTAGTCGTTCAGTTTTTGTCATGCTTTTGTTTTTATCTTACTTTTGATGTGTAGTAAATATTTCAGCGATTATTTTCATTTTTTCGTTTTTTTTTCCTGTGAAGCACATTGCGTTGTATTCCATGTCTAAAATGTGCTGTATAAATAAAGCTTGATTTGATTTGAAGATTGTAGTTAATCACCACGTTTCTGCGCTGAACTAGGTTGAATATTTGCTTGATGAAAACTACAACTCCCTTCAGCCCAGCGTCCCACATGGTTCTTAACTTGATTTCTCTTGTGAATGATTTGATTTCTCTCTAGAGTAACGCCGCGTTGGGCTCACAAAAAAAACAAAGTAAATGGAATGGAATGTTTAGTAACCGAAAAAAATACGGAATGGAATATATATATTTATGTAATGGTTAATCGCTCAGCACTAGTGGTACAGTTATGTTACAGAAAAGCATTGAGGAAAACTGGAATTGGAATTTCAGTTTACTTGCTGAATTTACTGGATTTAAATGAAATTGACCCCATCAGTCCTGACTGGTACAACCTTAAACTTCTCACTCACCTGATGTCCTGTCCAGGGCGTGCCTGTACCAAGATCCGCACCTCCAGCTCTTCTGTGCCCTGCAATGACAAACAGAGCAGTTAATGAAGAAGATACAGTACATTCTGTACTATTGGCAGATGAGTAAGTCTATATGTACAATACAGAAAGGCTGTCAGTTTGTGGAGAGGAGATACTGGAGACAGGAGAGAGGAAGTGGAGAAATAATTAATGAACAGAGAGGAGAGAGACATATTGTATGTTATTGTAATGTATTTGTATAAGTGTATTCCATGCCGATAAAGTTCATTGAAATAAATTGAGAGGGGGTCAGCAAGTTGCCACAAGAGATGGGAGAGAGAGAGCGAGAGCAAGGTGAAGAGAGAGAGAGAGAGAGAGCAAGGTGAAGAGAGAGAGAGAGCGCAAGGTGAAGAGAGAGAGAGCAAGGTGAAGAGAGAGAGAGAGAGCAAGGTGAAGAGAGAGAGAGAGAGAGCAAGGTGAAGAGAGAGAGAGCGCAAGGTGAAGAGCGAGAGAGCAAGGTGAAGAGAGAGAGAGAGAGAGAGAGAAGAATAGAAGTTGGGTGTTGACTCACGTCGTCAGACTCTCGGAGAAGCTCTGTGTCCTCCACCTGCACCACAGCATCCGCCCCACAGGGGATAGGAGCCCCCGTTGTCACCCTCATTACCTGGCCTGGCATCACTGTGTGGGTCGGCTACAGAGACACACATGCAGGTTGGACATTATAAAGGTGTTAAACATGCTTATGACATATCTTTCAAGGCATTATAACCGCATCATAATAGATTATAACTACCGGCATGAA